ACCCACCCCGCGGCCCACCCCGCGACCCACCCCGCGACCCACCTGCGCCCCACCCCGCGCCCGCCCCCTCACTCTACTCCGCATCTGCGGGGTGCTTGCTATGTGGCGGGTTTGGGAAAACCCTGAACAAAAAAACCTGTCATCCCTTGAGAGGCCGACTTTTACTTCTGCTGGGCTTCCGGCCGCTCCCGCTGGCGGAGGCGGCCTCGGTTGTACTTCCGCCGCCTTCCGCCGCCTTCCACCGGCTTTCCGCCGCCTTCCGCCGAGGGAGAGATGGTAACTTCTTCAAACCTCGAAGGCCTCATGTAGCAGGATCGAGGCTCGAGGCTTCTGGGGCGTCCTGGGGCCCCCGCTGGGCCTCCTGGACGGTCAGGCCGGTCACGCCACGGCCTGGGCGCAGCTCGGAGAGCTGCTCAGGGCGGGGGTTCGGGCGGAGCTCAGGGCCCAACTCTGCCGGGCGCACGCTGATTATCATTGATTGGGGCATGCCCTGGCGACACCTCCTCCTCCTCCTCCTCCTCCTCCTCCTCCTCCTCCTCCTCCTCCTCCTCCTCCTCCTCCTCCTCGGTGCACTGGATATGCCTTGCGAGGTGGCGTAGCGTGTCACCCCGCTCTGCAGGGCGGGAGACTGGGCAACGCTGGGGACATTGGTGCTTGGGCACCTGGGACGTGGACAGCGTGTCGCGCCGAAGCGTGGTGGGCCGGAACTGGCGGCGCGCCGCGCTGAGCCGAAGTTCCCGACCGTAAGGATCCGTAGATCTGGCGCGCGGGCGACAGATCCACGGATCGGGGAAGGCACCTCGCGAAACGTGAAGCCGGCGCCGCCCGATCTGGCGACGGAGCGCGTCGATACTGCATGGCATCGGGCCCGCAGCCAATCCACGCGCCTTAGCCCGTGTTTGCGCTTCCTCGACTCTGCGAGGATGTGGATGGGCCGCCTCCCTGAGCGCCCAGTCGGCGACACATGATTCACGACGGCTGCTTCCTTCCACCCAATTGCGGCCTCTGGGGGTCGCATTCGGTAGAGGAACAAGAAACGGCTCACGTGGACAGAAGTTCTCGGAGGCTCGCGCGGACTTCTTGGATCGGCGCTGACGCCCCCCTGCTGGCGCAACTCTGTTTCGGATCGGGCCACAGGACCACCAAACAAGGGCCCACGACGAAAAACGCGGCCCTGGGAATGGAGGTTGGTTGGGGCGACGGTGGCGCGCATAGCGATGGCGATCCTTTCTCCGTTGCTTTCCGCAGCAATCCGAGTCAAGAGGTGTGCCCATTGCCAGTCTAGGATCCCCAAGGCCCAGCAGACTGCACTCAGCAGAAAAGCATTGCGCGTACGGCGCTCTGTCTAAGATCTCTGCGACCCCTCCACTCCTGGGGCCATCGAGGGCCCTCGGGACACGTCTCGCCTGATGGGCCGACTTTCCACCGCCACTGCCAGAGGTAGGAGAGGGAGGCAGAGGAGGAGGAGGAGGAGGAGGAGGGGGAGGAGGAGGAGGAGGAGGAGGAGGGGGAGGAGGAGGAGGAGGACGAGGAGGACACCCCCATCCTCCCTTCTCCCCCGTCCTGCATCTGGGAGTGCTGGTGGACAATCGGCCCCGCACCGCTGGGAGCCCTCGACGTCGGCGAGGGGCGGCCCGTGGCGCGGCGGCGGGGCTCTCTTCCGCCCCCCCCCCCCGCGGGCGGCGGGCGCGGCTGCCGAAGGGACCGCCGAGGGGGCGAAGCCCGCCGAGGCCTCCGCGGGAGCGGGGCCTCCCTCGCCACTCGGCGGCGAGGGAGGGGGGGGGGGGGCATCGAGAAGAAGACGAGGGGCTTCTCAGAAGGCAGCGCTACTTCGCAGGAGGCCTCCCGGCCTCCCGCGAGGCTCTCTGTGTCTTCGGGGAAGGCGTGGGACACTTCGCAGAAGGCTGGGGAACTTCAGAGCCTTCTGAGGAGAAGGCCCGCTCCGTCTCACTTCCCCCCCCTTGCTCGCCGCCGAGCCGTTCCCCAGGTCTGTCGAAGTGTGCGTGCAGCTAGGAGCCTGGCGTCGCACTGCCGTCAAGCCACGTGCCCACACCTAAAAAAAATCCAGTTGCGGGCCTGGCGTCTTCCCGCTCCCGCGTTGGGTCGCCCCTGTTCGACTCCTGTGCGCAAGGCCCTTTTTACTCGGGAGCTAGTTCGGGAGGTAGCGAAAAAGGCGGGCCCTCGTGAGATGCCAAGCCCGCGGCGAACAAGAAAAACGTGTCTCTGGCGATGCAATTCGTTCAATCCCGGCGTCGTTCCTCGATTTCAGCCTCCAGGGCCCGTCATCGGGAGCCAGGCCCACCACAAACGGATCTGGGACTCAAAACTGCCCCCAGAGAAGGGGTCGTAAGCTCTAGGGCCGCGTCTGTTATATAATAAGTGTACGAATGCTACGAGTAGCAACGATCATTATTATTATAATAATGATAATATTATAGTAACAACAAATGATAATAATACGAATACTAAAAAGAATAGAAATAATAAACCGAAAATGGTCATATACACCAACAACAACAACAAAGCAACAGCAGCAACAACAACAACAGCAACAACAACAACAACAACAACAGCAGCAGCAGCAGCAACAACAACAACAACAACTACAACAACAACAACAAAAACAACACCAACAACAACAACAACCACAACAACAACAACAACACCAACACCAACAACATCAACAACAGCAACATCATCATCATCATCATCATCATCATCATCATCAGCATCATCATCATAAGCATCATCATCACCAACAACAACAACAACAACAATAACACAGCAACAACAACAAAACAATGTCGGAGGCTGTCTGGGACCAGGGCCCCGCAAGCGGGTACTTCTACAAACCAGGACAGGGTCGAAACATGATACAACTGGAAAGATGATCAAGAACCTGATCACGTAAAAAACCTGGGACAGCTTTACGGAAGTTTCTTACGGCAAGCCTGGGCCCAGTGCTCGTGTCAACGCTGCAAGGGCGAAGTAGCTCAAAAAACAGGGCCAGATGTTCGGCGAGGTGGCTAAGAAACGCTGGTCCAGCCTTTCGAGGGGAGATTTCTGAATCTGATGCTCGACCGTACACACTTCGTTCTCTCCAACTGGATCTGGCAGAGTCCTGGCTAGCAAAGTCCTGACTTCCAGGGCGACTACCCACCTCCTCCCCCCTCAAGAACCAGCCCCCGGAGCCCTCCGGGGAGCGCACTGCGACCAGCATTTCGGTGAGCCTCCAGCCGTGGCGACGAGGAGCCCGCGGGAGGCCCAGAAAGGCCTCGGAAAATCGAGGGCCTCTAGAGACCCCCCCCCCGAAAAAAAAAACGGTCGGAGTTCCGCGCGGATGTCTCGGATCGGCGCGCCCCCACCCCCCCTCCCTGGCGGGCGGAGCACGCCAGGGGCGGCGCCACAAGGCGCCGCCAGGGGGGCTCCAGCACCGCTCCACCAAATCCGCGAGGACCTCCGAACGCTTAGGTTTATGTCCCTGTGCGTTCCCCGAGCGGGGTCGGCCCAGGCGGGCTTTGGAACGAGGAGGCCTCGACAGAAAGGCGCTCCAGCCGGGCTCGCTGCTTCGCCTAACCCTCTGCACGCCTGACGGCCTCTCGGGCCTGACCTGTTCCTGGGCGGAGCCTGCAAGGAAAGAAACAGGCAGAGCGAGCGGCTCGTCCACATCGCGGTGGCGTCGAAACCGGTCTCTGCGGCGAAAGCGGCGATGCATCGGCGACGGTGGAATGGCATCGAGCCGCATCGCCGATGCATCGGCGATGCGGCAAGAACCTCCCACCTCATCTGCTCGGAGCCCATTGAGGAGGTATGGAGATAGAGCAGACGCTTCAAGCCCAGCGAGCTCTAGACACTGGCTGCACACGAAGCGGTCACACTGGGCCTCCTCCTCCTCGTCCTGTCCCTCCTCCACGCTCCTCCTCCTCCTCCTCCTCCTCCTCCTCCTCCTCCTCCTCCTCCTCCTCCCTCCCACCCTCCCTCCCTCCCTCCCTCCCTCCCTCCCT